CGGTTGAACCGCTTCTCCCCGCTCTGTTCCCCGCACAGGCGCATGTTTCCCTTCCTGAGCTTCAACATAAACGGACTCAACCCTGCCGCCCACTACAACGTGTTCGTCGAGGTGGTGCTGGCCGACCCCAACCACTGGCGCTTCCAGGGGGGCAAGTGGGTGACCTGCGGCAAGGCCGACAACAACATGCAGGGTGAGGGGCGCGCGGGGGCCCCCCAGCACGCGCTCACACGCATCTCCCCCGCCCGGAGCCCAGAGGTGTTAGCACCGGTTTCTTTGTCTCGTTTGACTAAGACAGAGAATTGCTAAGTCAGGTCTCTTGCTGACCGGTGCACGGAGCTCCAACCGTGACGACCCTGCTGCAGACCCCCGATGCCCACGTTTGAGAAGAGAATTGCCATCAACCCTCCCGGGTGGCAAGGGTGGCTGGGGCTCCTGGCAGCCTAATTTCCACTTGAGAAAGCCCTCCCCAGGGCTGAACTCAACCCATAAAGATGCAGCCATTTCCATCAGATGTTGCCCTTACGGCTTTATTTGAACCAAGGAGGCATCTCCTGTGGGCTCCCTTTTTGTATTCTGAGGCACTGTTAAGATGAGCACTTGGTCCAAGGGAGGTCCCGGGAAGCGCAGGGCCCGAGGGGCGAGGAGCCTGCCGGCCTCCGCGCCTGAAGCAGCTCTGCTGGGGAGATCGGGCCGAGGCCTGCTCCTACACCTTGCCCATAGACGGTCAGACCTCCCTTCCGCCGCCCTCGTTTGTGAACAGCCCTGTACGCTTAGGTTCTGTGTTTGTTTCATTTTCTCTTAGGCAACAAAATGTATGTCCACCCCGAGTCTCCCAATACTGGTTCCCACTGGATGAGACAGGAGATTTCCTTTGGGAAACTAAAACTCACCAATAACAAAGGTGCCAATAACAACAACACTCAGGTAGAGTGACCGAGGAGGGGGGTGTCCTTGGCTATCCATCTCTCTTGTAACAAGTTCCCATACCCTTCACTGTATTTTTTTTTGCCGTGTTCCCTGTTTACTCTCCTATTTCTAAGCTTTTTTTTTTTTTTTTCCTTTCGACCTTTCTCATTTTCACTTTCTTACTGGAGTTCAGTAACAGGGAGTTGACTATTAGGAACAGAAATACGGAAATCTTTGGGGGACTTAGGAAACCAAGAGGAAAGAGTGTTTCTGAATACAGCTGTTTTAAGTTTCAACAATGGCAATGATGAGATCTTAACCACGGCAATAGACAAAAGGTCGCTGCTGGTGGGGAGCAAGCAGGAGCCCCATTCCAAAACACGGGGTTTGGCCCTAGCTGGTTTCCTCCGTGGTTAGGGGTCCCAGGTTCGATTCCGCCCAAGGGCACGCACCTCAGTTGCAGGCTCCATTCTTCCCGCCCGAGGTGTGTGAGGGAGGCAACCAGTCGCTGTACCATTGACGTTTCTCTCTCCCTTCCACTCTCTCTGAAAAGCAATGGAAAAGAAATATCCTCATGTGAGGATTAAAAAAAAAACAACCCAACAACAAAAAAAACAACACGTGGTTTGTTAAAATCTACTTTTGTTGAGTTTTAAGAGACTTTTTCGATTTGGCTGCTCTGTTCCTGTCCCATTTCCAGATGATAGTCCTCCAGTCGTTACACAAGTACCAACCCCGACTGCACATTGTTGAAGTCACAGAGGATGGCGTGGAGGACTTGAATGAGCCCTCGAAGACACAGACCTTTACCTTCTCAGAAACGCAGTTCATTGCCGTGACTGCCTACCAAAACACCGACGTGAGTGTCCCGCCCGTCCCGAGACCCTCGGCAGCTGGGCCCGGCCTGCTAAAGCACTCAACTACTATTTTTCTCCCCTGTCTAGATAACTCAATTAAAGATTGACCATAACCCCTTTGCAAAAGGCTTCAGGGACAACTATGATTCGTAAGTGCTGCTTTTCCTACTTGCATGTCGTCTTTGGACAGGACATTCACCATCGGACACTCTCCTGAGAACCTAGTCTAGGAGGAGCTTTCATGTTTGAGCTTTTTACCTGCTTTCATTTTTACTTTTTTTTTTTTTTGCCTTGACTAATCTTGCTTCGTAATTTTCACGGAAGGGTTTTGTTAATTTCTAAAGAAATGTTAAGGGCTTTAAAATGAGCTTTTTTTTTTTTTTTAACATTTGAGTGGAGACTTGAAATTTTCATAATCTTCATTTACATACCTTTCCATCTGATCCAACTTTTTTATCCCCTCAGGAGCAAGTATTATTACTCCGCCCACCCCCCTCTTTTTTTTTCTTTTACATAAGAAAAACCCGAAACTAAGAGGATGTCATTTTCACATCAAATGCAAGGCTCTGCAAATGCATTTTAAATTTGGCATTCCTCCCATCACACTGACAAGGATAGTTTATCTGAGCTCCTCAAGTCCTAGGATTTGCAAAGGTGGATTTCCTATAGTTTAAATACTTAATGCCCGGGAGGGAACTCTTTCCTACCTGGTGGGTAAAGGGGCCAGGGCATCTCCTACCTCTGTCCCTCCACGGCAACACACCAGTGCTTTTTTCATTTCTGGGAATTTGGTTTGTTTGGGGACAACACTGGGGTGTTTTGGGTTTTTTTAAGTGTTTCTCTTTATATTGTAGCATGTACACCGCTTCCGAAAATGACAGGTTAACTCCATCTCCCACGGATTCTCCTAGATCCCATCAGATTGTCCCTGGAGGTCGGTACGGCGTTCAGTCCTTCTTCCCGGAGCCCTTTGTCAACACTTTACCTCAAGCCCGATATTATAATGGCGAGAGAACCGTGCCACAAACCAACGGCCTCCTTTCACCCCAACAGAACGAAGATCTGTCCAACCCTCCCCAGCGGTGGCTTGTCACGCCTGTGCAGCAACCTGGGACCAACAAACTAGACATCGGTTCCTATGAGTCTGAATACACTTCCAGCACCTTGCTCCCGTATGGTATTAAGTCCTTGCCCCTCCAGACATCCCATGCCCTGGGGTATTACCCTGACCCAGCCTTCCCTGCAATGGCAGGGTGGGGAGGTCGAGGTTCTTACCAGAGGAAGATGGCAGCGGGGCTCCCATGGACCTCCAGAACAAGCCCCCCTGCGTTCTCTGAAGATCAGCTCTCCAAGGAGAAAGTCAAAGAAGAAATTAGCTCTTCTTGGATAGAGACCCCCCCTTCCATCAAGTCTCTGGATTCCAACGACTCGGGCATATACACCAGCGCTTGTAAGCGAAGGCGGCTGTCTCCCAGCACCTCCAGCAATGAAAATTCTCCCTCCATAAAGTGCGAGGACATGAACGCTGAAGAGTACAGTAAAGACGCCTCGAAAGGCATGGGGGGGTATTACGCTTTTTACACAACTCCCTAAAGAGTTATTCTAACCTCCTCCAAATGAGCTACCTTGTTGCAGATGAACCTGGTGGTGCGCGTTGTTGCTGTTGTTGTTCTTTGCCTAGGTTGCCAAAAAGATGTTTGCCTTCCACCTTGGTGCGTCCCGTCCTGTGCAACTCTCTAAGAGAAGGTGCCAAAGCTTTTCGATTGCTGCAGGTGACTGAAACAAGCCTAGCATTGCATTGTCCCTTTCTAAAAAATAAAAAGATAAATAAAGTTAATGGAGGACTTGGAAGTGTTTTAAAATTTGAAGGTTATCCAAGGTCCTGGATTTATTTATTGGAAACACTAAACATCCAGAGAGTGGGGCTGTGAAGACGGAGTGCTGAGCGCTATCAGATGAGTGGAACGCGTGGGTCCTTATTTCTGTTTTTTAAATCTCTAAGCCTACAGAAGCCCAGAATCGGTAAGGTATTTTGCGTCTAGAAGAGAAGGGCTGGTCCTTAAGCTTCAGTGGGGGACTCTCTTTGCCGTTACCTTCTGCTAGGGACGAAAGATGTTAGGCCTGGGAGGCCAGACGGACTTTGGTGAAGTCTGACTTGGTTTCCCCTGACTTGGAGGCCTCCCAGGCCTCCAGGACAGGCCGCGTCCGCTCTGGCTCAGGACTGCCTCCCTCGCTGGCCAGGCCTCTGCTGTGTGCCGGGGTGGCCCGTAGGACTCGGGGGAGGACAAGTGAGGGCGTCACCCCCCCCAAATAAAGCATAAAAGAAAGAAAAATTTAAAGTGTACAGATGTGTGTGCTTAGATACACTGTAGAACAACGTGGCATATATTGTACAAATAGTCTACATAGGTGTCTGAGGTGATGTAAAATTGGTGCTTCGGGCTTTGTAAGGAATTCTGCAGATCCCCTGAGGACAGCCGCAGGGGCGGGGGTCGTGTCTCTGTCGTCCCAGCCGTGTCTGGGAATATTCTGTTCGCTTTCTAGATGGTTAAGAATGTGTCCGGCTACTCTGTACTCAACTTGAACCCTGTCGAAGGAAAACTATTTCATCGTCTCCCTGCGCCACCCCCGCCACCCCCACCTGGTAAATGTGAAGAAAGTCACACCTGACGCCACAGCTCCTATCGGCTTTTTAGAGACCTTGGATTTTTTATGTACAGTGTTAGTCATTTTTTTAATAAATGTGGTTCATCAAGGGAACAGGCATAGCTCTGTCTTCTGTACGACGGGTTTTACCCTAAAGATGTGACTTTGCTGTCTCCCCCGCCCGGGTCACCGGCTCCTCTCGCGGCCACGGAAGGTTCTGGAGCCTCAGTGGACACTAGTAAGGGG